AAGTGAGTGTGTGTGTGTGTGTGTGTGCATGTGTTTGAGTGTGTGTGTGAGTGAGTGTGTGCTTGAGCATGTACGGTGTGTGTGTGTGTGTGTGTGTGTGTGTGTGTGTGAGAGTGTGTGTTTGAGCATGTGTGTGTGTGTGTGTATGTGTGAGTGTGTGTGTGTGTGTGAGTGTGTTTGAGCATGTACGGTGTGTGTGTGTTCGAGCATGTATGGTGTGTTGTGTGTGTGAGTGTGTGTGTGTGTGTTTGAGCGTGTACGGTATGTGTGTGTGTGTGTGTGTATGTATGTGTTTGAGCATGTACGGTGTGTGTGAGTGTGTGTGTTTGAGCGTGTACGGTGTGTGTGTGTGTGTGTGTGTGTGTGACATGAATGAATCCTTATCACAGACTGCAATGACACGTTTCCACAGTTATTAACATCGTAAATCTAGCCAAATGTTTCACATTTTCATTTAAAAATATGTAATGTACTAGAATTTATGTCAGTGTTATTTTAAAATCCTTGAGATACTATTATAGTTTTTCTTAATATTTTGAAAATTTTGGAATATCATCAACACAATGGAAAACGAAAATATTTCTTCCTGTTTGCCCAGTGTAATTAAATATGATGGTGCTGTTATCACAAATTGTGGATCAATTCAACAGAGATTTTGTTAATGCTGGCTGTGCCTACGAGAATATTTCTGGTACTTCTAATTGTTCTCCTGTCAACCTGGCATCTGTTATTCATTCACCTGCCTTAGGTCCCCCTCCTTCTCTTTTCAGTCGATACAAGAGACCGAGGTACTTGGGGAATTGCTCAACCTGGATATTCATAAATCTGCTGGATTGGATGAATTAGATCCATTATTTTTTAAAGAAAGCAGCTTATATGTGAGCCTGCAGAACAAAAGCAGTGTTGAGTCGCTGGGGGATATTTGTAGCAATAGCAAACAATACATTGTATGGGTCACAATTATATATTTCTCTTTTATGCCAAAAATCATTAGGATATTAAGTAAAGATCATGTTCCATCAACGGAAAGCTATTTATTCAGTATGAACAAATCTCAATTTCAAAAAATTGACCCTTATGACTGGTTTTGTGCTCCAGGGTCACATATTATCGCAGCGCCTATCGCTTACATGTTTAATCTCTCTCTCCAAACTGGTGTCTTTCCAAGGGACTCGAAATCTGCTGCTGTAACCCCACTTTTTAAAGGGAGTAATAACTTAAATTGCTATAGACCCATTTCCATTTTGCCCTGTCTCTCTAAAATACTAGAGACGTTGGTTAACGAGCAGCTTATGCACCATTTGGAGACTTATAATGTGCTTCATCCGGATCCGGGCATAGTTGTATCACCGCTACACTTAAGGTGTAGCTGCATTCGTTGATCTGGCAAAGGCTTTTGACTCTGTGGACCATGAAATATTAAGAGGTACAGGACTCTCTGAGAGCTGTCTGGCCTGGTTCAAGAGTTACTGTTTACAATCAGTGACGGTGGAAGGGCTTCTGTCAGATCCCCTGCCCCTATCTAAAGGGGTCCCACAAGCAAGTGTATTGGGACCAATACTTTTTCATATTTATGTTAATGACATTGCCCTTGCCGCAGGTGATCCTCATGTACATTTATATGCTGATGACACTATTATTTATACATTTAGTTCTTCCCTGACTACTGCACTCTCTTTATTGCAGGCCCGTTTTACTCGCAATTAGTCTTCATTTAATTTTAAATACAAATAAATCAAAATGCATGTTTTTTTCACAGAAATCGAGTTTCCGCCTAAAATGTTCTCATTGGATGGCTCTGAGATCGATTATGTTGAATGCTACAAATATCTCGGGTATTTGGCTCGATGGCAAACTGTCATTTGAAACTCACATAAGGTTAAAACTCGTATTGGTTTTCTTTATCGGAACAAATCTTCTTTTACACATTCTTCAAAACAGCTTCCGGTTAAAATGACAGTGCTCCCAATTTTGGATTATGGTGATGTAGTTTATAGGTCTGCTTCAAAAACTCAAAACTCTTATTGGGAAAACTCCGCTATATTTACAGTCACTTCTTAATATTCATAATACAAGTCGTAATCTGCGCTCTAGTACTTTTATTAATTTCTGCATACCTCCTTTGGTCGTGACTCCTTTCAGTTTTCTTAAAGCTTAGTTCATTCATTCCGCTCTCTTCCTTTAAAAACTCAATTCAGTTAATAGTAGAATATCATTGTACTTGTTTTTAGTTATTTGCTTGTTCTTATATGTTACTGTTTATAAGTGTGTTATTTGTAATTGTTTGTCTTTATTGTTTTGTATCTGCTTTTTATGCTGCCGCTTGGCCAGGTCGTCATTGTAAACGAGAATTGGTTCTCAACTGACTTATCTGGTTAATTAAAAAAAAAAAATTTAAAATTAATAAATGCTTATTTTTTCATTGTTACTTCATGTTAGTTAAAGCATTAACTAATGCTATCAAATGAGACCTCATTGTAAAGTGTTGCCAAATTTATTTCATGTAACAATTATTATTATTTTTTTGGTTTTAGCTTTAGTTAACTATAAAACCCTGCTTTGTGTCACGTGTGTTTTCTCCTCGTGGTCAGACTAAGACATCTCCAAGTCCAACCGCTTCTGCATCACACATACAGTATTTTACACTAGACATCAAAATAGAGACTTAAAATAGTTCAGTGAACAAAAAAAAGATAAACGTAAGACTTTCAAGAGACCTTAAGTAGACAGTTGAAGTGAAAATACTTTAATAAAATGCTTTAATATACTTTAATCTCTAAATGTAAATGTCTAGTGAGTAAATTGAGTTAGCAACACTTCAACATTTGAAAATACAACTTCCAACAATTCATTTAGAAAAATAAATAGCTTATGGCTTGAATAGCTCTGCTAGATTATTGAAATAACTTTTACGGTTCCTACTGATCACGCTTAAAATAATGTCATTTTTCCTCAGTCTTGAGATTTCTTAGATTCTTAAATCAAGATACATTTACTGGAACAAAAAGACTTAAGTCTTGCTTTATGATACATTGAACAAAATGAAGTGAGCTTATAATTGAAACAAGAACAAATACCTGCCAATGCAATCAGAAAAATCAACTTAATTCAAAGAGAAAACAAGTTTTCATTCCTCATCGACAGATATTTGTTCTTGTTTTAAAATTTTGATAAATTTGTTAGACTTCTTATCTACTGTACATGTTGCATTTCAATCAAATACGTTTTAAGGACGTTTAGATATTTGTACTGAAAACAAAAATACTGAGGAAGAGATTTTTTTTTTGCAGTTCATGCAACATTAAATATCATAACCAGTGTTGGGGGTAACGCATTACAAGTAATGCGAGTTACGTAATCAGATTACTTTTTTTCAAGTAACTAGTAAAGCAACACATTACTTTTTCAAATAAGTAACGCCAGTTACTTTTTTCCCCATTTATTGATTAACAGCTGTCCCCATGTTGAAGAGAAATCAGGAGTAAGATGTTACTTTAGTTCTAGAATAAATGTGAACATGCATTAATTCATCTCACTCACTCAAAATGAGAATATGACGCAAAGCTGCAATAATTAAATATGCTAAATAATACAAATATCCTTTATGTATTTAATCCCATTTTATTAACCAATTTGCTGACCTTCGATGATCCAATTCAACCGTACTAATAAGCAAAAATTACACAAGATAAACTAACATTTCTTCTTTTTTTATTGCTGAAGAGTGTTGAACTTTCTTCTTCTGTGTTCTACTGTACGGACGAAAATTTACATTTCCTTCGTGTGAAAGGGCTTTTATATTTGCCAAAAATAGAACTTTTTATATTAAAAGCAAACAATCAAGTCCAGCCCAGATTTAAAAAGTAACGCAAAAGTAACGTAACGCATTACTTTCAATAAAAAGTAACAAAGTAACGTAATTAGTTACTTTTTTAGAAAGCAACGCAATATTGTAATGCATTACTTTTAAAAGTAACTTTCCCCAACACTGATACTATGATTAATAACTATGATTTTGACTACAATAACTATGTTTTTCAGATTTTCTGATCTCATTTAAAACCTTTTTAGGTTTTAATCTGCTGAAAGGTGCATTAAGACCCACAGAAACCCTGAAAAACATCCTTTAAATGTTTTTAAAAACGCTGATGATGTGCTCTTCTGATGATTCCCCGCAAACCCCGTCTATCCTTGCCACGTGTTTTTACTGTGATCCGGGTTGTATTTCCTTCTGTTCATGTTTTTAAGGTCCATGAGGCCGTCTGCATGATTATATGATTGGATGACGCTTAAAGAAGCACCAGATCTCAAGCGTTAGTAGATCTTCATGCGTCTGAAGGTCTTTCAAGTGTCAGTGTGTTATGAAGATGTTTTCTACCGCTTCAGTCCACACAACAAACACTGAATCATTAACAGGACTATTCACTAATACTGTATATACACTATAATCACCTGCTTTAGTTAATTAGTTCATTAAGATCTTCAATCGTACATTGCAAAAAAAGGCTTGTTACTTAGTATTTTTGTCAAACAAGAGAAACTTGCTTCTTTTTTAAGGGCTTTTCACACTGAAAGCGAAAATTCTGAGATTTTTTTTTTCGTCCTGTGTGTCGAATTTTCCCCCGTCGCGCCGCGATGAAACGGGCCGTCCAATCAGATTTGAGCTTAGATCACGAGACCGGAGCAGCTGCTGTTGCACAAAAGGGTGAGAGCGGTGGCGCGGTTTCGAAAACCAGTGTAAACAAACACCGAAGAAGAGTATCCCGGTAGAGAGAAGAGAGTTGATGCGGAGTTCCTGTTATCTTTGGTATCTGAGAACAGATTTATTCTCACATGTTTTTAATATCATTTCTAAATTCTCCATTGACTTATGTGATCTGGTGTGACAGTTTGTGTTTCTGGCGTAGAACCAAACTTTATTTATCTATATTTAATGCTGTGTATTGAGCAGTGGACGATGTTAAATCCATAAATGAGATACATATCTGAATAAAAATGCATTGCTGGTCGGCGCCACCTAGCGTGCAGGCGTGAATTAGCAGAAGGCGATCAATCGCCAGTGTTGCAAGTAAAATTCTCTTGTTTTAAGAATATTTTACGTACCCCACTGGAAGATAATTTTACTTGTTTTAAACAAAATGCACTTAATTTAGTTTTCTTCCCTTAGAAACAAGACTATATATGTTGTTTTGCTTAACAAGTAAATGCATCTTAATTTAAGAACGGTTAGATATTTTGACAAAAAATAAGAGTTAAGCCTTTTTTGCAGTGTAGAGGTTTGAGTCTCACTCCTGCAGCACACACTGATAAAACGCAGGAAAACTAACTTCATCTTCCCGGAGAATCCAGTGGCGTCGTCTCATTCCCAGACGAACACTGAAGAGAAAACCTACAGCGCAGAAACAGACGAGACGCGAGTGAAAAACCCACCAGAGACCAGCGTGTAGCCCTTCTTCAGCAGCGCCTCGGCCATGGCCTTCGAGTTCTTCAGAACCTGAGCGATGTATTCACAAAACATGGGCGTCGTGGCCTGAAGAGAGACCGAATGAAGAGCTATCAATTATCAAAAATCATAAATGAGCTCCCAAGTGCACCAGCCATTGTTCAGGAGAAGATGAGAGAGAATAGGAGATGATTCAGGACGCAGATGATGCTGCATACGGAACTGCAGGATATTAATTCAACGTATGAACCGCTAATAAACAGTGGGAATCAAAGTAGAAAGTTGTGATCGACAGATACAGCTGTGCAGAATGTGCAAAATGTTAATAATTGAAACAAAATAAGAGGGATCATGATAAGTGCATGTTATTTTTTTATTTAGTACTGTCCTGAATAAGTTATTTCACATAAAAGATGTTTACATATACTCCACAAGACAAAATAATAACTGAATTTATAAAAATTACCCCGTTCAAAAGTTTACATATATAACTTTTTAAATTGGACGAGTAGGGTAAATTGTACTTATTTTGTCTTCTGGAAAACATGTAAGTATTTATGTAGCTTCTAAAGTCCAGTACTAAATGAAAAAATATGATCGCTATAGAAAATGAGAAGAATTTACACATCATCATCCTGTTCAAAAGTTTACACCCCCCGGCTCTTAATGCATCGTGTGGCCTTCTTGAGCATCCGTACATGTTTTCACCTTTTGTAATAATTATGCATGAGTGATGATGGATCAGATGATGGAAAAGATGGATTTCAAAGTCATAGTGAATGTTGGAAAGCGGTCAAATATGCAGAAGATGCTGGAAAACCAAAGAATGTGCAGGAGCCGGGGGATTTTTCTGAAGAACAGCAGGCAGTTGAACTGTTCAGGACTCATGAACAACTATCACAAAACATAAAAACGGTCGTGGACCATCCAGGAAATGACACGCAGTATTAAGATTCAACGGGGTAATTTTTATAAATTTGGTTATTATTTTGTTTTGTGAAGTATATGTAAACATATGTTATGTGAAAGAGCTTATTCAGGACAGTACTAAATAAAAAATAACATGCACTTATCATGATCCCTCTTATTTTGTTTCAATTATTAACATTTAGCACATTCTGCAAGGGGTGTGTAAACTTATGAGCACATCTGTATATCGGCTGACATTTGCCATTTTTAATAATTTTTTAATTATTTAAAAAAAAACTATATCATTAAAGTATCAAGAAGTTAAATGATTTTTTTTCGTATTTATTCATTTTCAAATTACACCATTTAGTATATACAGTGGGTACGGAAAGTATTCAGACCCCCTTAAATTTTTCACTCTTTGTTATATTGCAGCCATTTGCTAAAATCATTTAAGTTAATTTTTTTTCCTCGTTAATGTACACACAGCACCCCATATTGACAGAAAAACACAGAATTGTTGACATTTTTGCAGATTTATTAAAAAAGAAAAACTGAAATATCACATGGTCCTAAGTATTCAGACCCTTTGCTCAGTATTTAGTAGAAGCACCCTTTTGATCTAATACAGCCATGAGTCTTTTTGGGAAAGATGCAACAAGTTCTTCACACCTGGATTTGGGGATCCTCTGCCATTCCTCCTTGCAGATCCTCTCCAGTTCTGTCAGGTTGGATGGTAAACGTTGGTGGACAGCCATTTTTAGGTCTCTCCAGAGCTCACCAAGGCTCTTCTCCCCCGATAGCTCAGTTTGGCCAGACGGCCAGCTCTAGGAAGGGTTCTGATCGTCCCAAACGTCTTCCATTTAAGGAATGGAGGCCACTGTGCTCTTAGGAACCGTAAGCCACAGTGATCTTTGGGTTCTTCTTTACCTCTCTCATCAAGGCTCTTCTCCCCCGATAGCTCAGTTTGGCCAGCTCTAGGAAGGGTTCTGGTCGTCCCAGATGTCTTCCATTTAAGGATTATGGAGGCCACTGTGCTCTTAGGAACCTTAAGTGCAGCAGAATTTTTTTTGTAACCTTGGCCAGATCTGTGCCTTGCCACAATTCTGTCTCTGAGCTCTTCAGGCAGTTCCTTTGACCTCATGATTCTCATTTGCTCTGACATGCACTGTGAGCTGTAAGGTCTTATATAGACAGGTGTGTGGCTTTCCTAATCAAGTCCAATCAGTATAATCAAACACAGCTGGACTCAAATGAAGGTGTAGAACCATCTCAAGGATGATCAGAAGAAATGGACAGCACCTGAGTTAAATATATGAGTGTCACAGCAAAGGGTCTGAATACTTAGGACCATGTGATATTTCAGTTTTTCTTTTTTAATAAATCTGCAAAAATGTCAACAATTCTGTGTTTTTCTGTCAATATGGTGTGCTGTGTGTACATTAATGAGGAAAAAAAATTAACTTAAATGATTTTAGCAAATGGCTGCAATATAACAAAGAGTGAAAAAATTAAGGGGGTCTGAATACTTTCCGTACCCACTGTATATAGCTATACTGTGCATGTGTTTTTACTATCTTTAAATTAAATGTCGTGATATCATATATATTGGCTTTATATTGCCCATTAACTCAGCACATTAATCGCTAATAAACAGAGTGAATCAAAGTAGAAAGTATGGTCAACCGATATAATTGGCATGGCCGATATATCGGCTGATATTTGGCATTTTGTAAAAAAAAAAATTCTTTTTTGCAACAAATACTATTACAGCATTAAAGAATCAATGTTTAATAAATTTCCTTATTTTACTAAATGTATTTTTTTTTATCAAGTAAAATTTTTTTCATATTCATTTTCAAATTATATCATTTAGCAAACATTATTATAAATTAACTATAAATTTAATTTCGGCAATTATTATACATGTGTTTTTACGATCTTTAAATTAATTATATTGATATGATATACGCTGGCTTTATATCGGCCATTAATTCAGTGTATGAACCATAAACAGAGTGAACCAATGCAGAAAGTAATGATCGACCGATATATCGACAAGACCGATATATCGGCTGATATTTAGCATTTTCTAATTATTTGGGGAAAAAATACTATAATAGCTATAATAAAATATAATAAAATACTTTAATATAATTATTTTTTTCTTATTTTATAAATTAATTTTTTATCAAGTTCATTTTCATTTTCAAATTATATAATTTAGTAAATATACATTTAATTTCAGCAGTTGTTACACGTTTTCACTATGTTTGAAGTAAATATTGTGATATGATATGCATTGCCTTTATATTGGCCATTAATTCAGTGACTGCTAGTAAACAGAGTGAATCAAAGTAGAAAATTGTGATCGACTGATATATTGGCCGATATTTGGCATTTTTAATTATCTGCATCGGCCAATCATTTTTTTTCTGTTTAGCCAATATGTCAGAAGCAGGACTTTTATTTTAATAGCGCTGAGAAACAGAAAGGCATCTACCATCAGCATTCAGAATAGCATATGCATTTCATTTAAACAAATCTATTAATATTTAATAAACGCACATGATCGACACACTTCAAATCATTGATTTCAAACTATTCATGTTATATTTACCGTGTGCTTTATCTAAAATTAGCACTAACTTGTCATTGTTCGTAAAAATATGATTCCTAGTGCACACGAACTTACCTTAATTCCTTTTTATTCATATTTTTAACAATTGCTTTGTTTGTGAAAAATACAATAACAGAACTAAAAAAAAAATCAAGAAATTCAATATTTTTATCAAGTGTTTTCCCCCATATTTATTCATTATCAAATTATATAACTTAGTAAATATGTAAAATAAATATACGTTTAATTTCAGCAATCGTTATGCATGTGTACTAGCAGAAAGACTAATAATCTGGAAGTGAAAGCAAAGCAGGACCTGTTTGAGAGCCACAGCGACGCCGGCGATGGCGTGATTATGCGGGCCGCCTTGAAGCGAAGGGAACACAGAGAAGTTGACCTTCTCCTCCAAGTCGTACATGACCTCTTTGCCCTTCTTATCCAGCGAGCGCACGCCCTTCCGGTAGAAGATAAGCCCCGCCCTGAAGGAGGAGCCAGAGCAGAGGAGGCGGAGAAACGGTTAATGATGGAGATCACCAGAAAAACAGCTTTGCTCTAGTATGCAGTATGTGTACTGCGCACAATGTGTTCTGCATGCATGCAACATCCAGATCATCTACATTTTCTAAAAATGTGCAGTGCATATTGCATGAGATCCCACAATGCAATGTGCTAAAACTGACCTTCGGCTACCTTAATCTGCTGTGATTTTGATGTTTTTTTTTCTTATTTGATCAGACCGCCAATGTTATGACATTTTTACACAAAACTGGATAAAATCAAAAAAATCTAAATAACCATTTTATTTATTTTAATGTTGCCATTTGACAGTGTAACAATTTAACAACTTACTTACAATGTTACTGCATGTTTTGTTACACTACCAGTCAAAAGTTTAGGGGCAGTAAGGCTTTTTTTTAAATCTGCTTTTGCTCAGCAAGGCTGCATTTATTTAATCAAAAATAAACTGTAAAACTGTAATGTATTTCTGTGATGCGCAGCTGTATTTTCAGCATCATTCCTCCAGTCTTCAGTGTCACATGATCTTCAGAAATCAGTATAATATGCTGATTTGCTGCTCGAGAAACATTTCTGATTATTATCAATGTTGAAAACAGTCGTGCTGCACAATATTTTTGTGTAAACCGTGATGATTTAACAACTTACTTACAATGCTACTGCATGTTTTGTTACACTACCAGTCAAAAGTTTAGGGGCAGTAAGGCTTTTTTTAAAATCTGCTTTTGCTCAGCAAGGCTGCATTTATTTAATCAAAAATAAACTGTAAAACTGTAATGTATTTCTGTGATGCGCAGCTGTATTTTCAGCATCATTCCTCCAGTCTTCAGTGTCACATGATCTTCAGAAATCAGTATAATATGCTGATTTGCTGCTCGAGAAACATTTCTGATTATTATCAATGTTGAAAACAGTCGTGCTGCACAATATTTTTGTGTAAACCGTGATGCGTTTCATTTTTCAGGATTCACAGATGAATAGAAAGTTTATAAAAGAACAGCATTTATTTGACTGTCACTTTTAATCAATTTAATGCATCCTTAATGAATAAAAGTATTCATATCTTTCAAAGAATGAATGGTTTGTGCACTAAACACTGGCGGTACACTAGTACTGCGCACAGGCTTTGAGAAATGGATCACAGAAGAGCCACTGGTCTCTGGTTGAGGTGTACCTGGATCCTCGCAGTGATTTGTGTGTGGTTGTGGTGACGAGGTCGGCGTGTTGGAAAGGCGAGGGAATGGCTTTGCCTGCCACCAAACCGCTGATGTGAGCCATGTCCGCCAGCATGTACGCGTTCAGCTCGGTGCACAGCTGCCAGGAGACAGAGACCAGAGTAATAAAGAGCTCAGAGAGGATTATGAAAGTGTTTAGAAGCTGAGATCCGCGGCGCTCGCAGCAAACATCACAATCAAAGCGCTCCCGTTATCGGCCCATCGGAGAGTGACCTGATGAGATCCGCGCGCTTCTCCGGGGAACGAGACCCAGATACTGCAGGCGCTTCGCTAACACTTCTGAGCATTACGCCACGCTCTCAGGGTAAATATAATCTCCTGCTGATTATACACTGATAATGTTATGCACACTGATACTCTTTATCTGTCGTGGAGTGTGTGTGTGTGTGTGTGTGTGAGAGAGAGTGTGTGTTTGTTTAAGGGCGTGTGTGTGTGTGTGTGTGTGAGAGTGCGTGTTTGTTTAAGGGTGTGGGAGTGTGTGTTTGTTTAAGGGTGTGTGTGTGTGTGAGAGTGTTTATGTTTAAGGGTCTGTGAGTGTGTGAGCGTGTGTGAGTGTGTGTTTGTGTGTGTGAGAGTGTGTTTGTTTAAGGGTGTGTGCGTGTGTGTATGTGTGAGAGTGTGTGTTTGTTTAAGGGTGTGTGCGTGTGAGAGAGGGTGTGTGTGTGTGTGTGTGTGTGTGTGTGAGAGAGCGTGAGTGTGTGTGTGTGTGTGTGAGAGTGTGTGTTTAAGGGTGTGTTTAGGTTTAGGGTTGGTGTATACAGTATAACAGTATTTTACAGTATAAAAACCATTACGCCTATGGAGAGTCCCCACAAGGATAGCAAACGTGTGCTGCTGACCTTGTGTTTATCTTGCAGTAAAATCAGGCCACAGTGAATTCGATCAACAAACATGAAACACACACAATCTCAGCCTGCAGCAGAAAACCTGAAGCGCCGCACAAAATATGAGGAAAGGAGCTCTCAGAGAGACAGACACCAGCTCTGCTCGAACCCTAGCGAGTGCCCTACATAGGCAGCACATGACAAAGTGAATAATGCATGCATTTCATTTTGAGAGGCATGATGTTTGAGCCTTCTCATGCTGTCTATGTAGGGCACTCACTAGGGTTCGGAGAGTTGGCATGAACTGAGGGAGAGCTGAATGGGATTATGGGTATTTGACTGTCTGTCAAGCATGTTTAAACATAATTTCATCAGTGTTAATGAGAACAATCATCATCATACTTACTCCTGTTTGTGTGTGTATGAAAGAAGATGTGATTAAAAGCTGACAGCGACACTGCAGTGAGTGTGTGTGTGTGTGTGTGTGTGTGTGTGTGTGTGTGTGTGTGTGAGTGAGAGAGAGTGTGTGTGTGTGTGTCTGTGAGTGAGAGTGTGTGAGTGTGTGTCTGTGTGTGAGTGTGTGTGTGTGTGTGTGTGTGTGCGTGTGTGTGTCTGTGAGTGAGAGTGTGTGAGTGTGTGTGTGTCTGTGTGTGTGTGTGTGTGTGTGTGTTCACAGTACTGTGAGCAGAAAGCGTCAGGATCAGTGAGTGTGTTTGTCGTCTCTGAGGTGTCAGGCTTGAGCAGTTAAACACAAATGTGTCAGAGAGACAGACGAGTGTGTGTGAATAAAGAGAGCAGTCGAGACAGCAAAAATAAACAGAGAGAAAAAAAATCGTTCAGTTTTTTTATCTTAACGTACGTTTGCAATGTTTTCATTTAGCATAGTTTTAAATGCAAATGCTTTATCAAAGTAAAAACACTTCAATACTTAACTTTAAAACCAAACATCAAACAACACCCTAAAATCTAATTTAGCTTAGATTAGATTCCATAAATGCACTTCAGAGGAAGTCTTTTAAATATAGTCATAGAATAAACTAATTTAAATATGATTTTTTAAAAATTTCCTTAAAGCAATATTTTACCCAAAAATTAAGATTTGCTAAAAATGTGCTCACCCTCAGACCTTCTAAGATTAGGATGAGTGTGTTTCTTCATCAGATTTGTAGAAATGTAGCACTGCATCAGTGTCTCAGCAATGGATGCTCTGCAGTGAATGGGTGCCGTCAGAATGAGAGTCCAAACAGCTGATAAAAACATCACAATAATCCACAGCACTCCAGTCCATCAGTTAACATCTGTTTGGACTCTCATTCTGACGGC